TTCCCACATTAATTCCCACCGTTTTCCTCTTGAAAATTCTCGAGAGAGACGGAGTGATTTTTCTTTATTATTATAATTTTCCTTCCACATTAACGTTATGTGTATGTGTGTGTGTGTGTGTGAAATTATTAGTATCGTTATTAGCTTGGCAGAAATTTTCGAGTCTCCCTCTCCCTCTTGTATGTCGATTAACAACGAATAGTTTAGGCGGGACCGAAACGCACGCTTGTCAGTCTCAATCGGGACATCGTGTGTAATAAATGACGGTCTATGCACGGTGACCTTCGTTAACCGACGTAATTAATAAAACGATTAAACGGAGCAGCACTCGAGCGCTATTAATCACAGCGACGAGAGCTATTAGTAATGCCTTTTCGGGCCGGAAGTCGGGCGAATGCGCACTCCGCACTTGCGACGTTCTCTTTCACTGAGAAGGGAAGGATGTGCAAGGGTCGTGCGATTTCCCTCGGCTCACCACATTAAATTTCCTGTCGCTGCGTCGCGAGCTAACGCGCGTATAATGTCCTGAAGTTATTTCTGCAAATGCGCCGTGAAATTACGGAAAATTATTTTTCAAACGTATCGCGCGTATCAGCCGCTTAATTCTTCATCCAATTTAACAACGCGGCTTCGCGATAATGAAAAATTCCACCGTTGAATTTCGCCGACTTCTCTCTTTTTGGCCTCCCTCTCTCCCTCTTTCTCTCTCTCTCTCTCTCTCTCTCTCTCTCTCTCTCTGCTGCGCACACGAGCAAAAGTTTCAAGAATGTACACTGTAATCGCGGCGAATTCACTAACTTTTGACAAAAAGTCGTCTGATCAAATTAAGTCGATTACATCGATATTTTCGGAAACCGCAATCGAAGCGAGGAATCTCAACGAACGGCTTGGGTGGAATACTTAAACCTTACTTTCCGCGTGAAGGGAATAAAACATTTGGCGAGATACATCTTTCACCTAAAAAGAAGTGAGGAGCACTCTCCCGCCAAGAGGAGCCGTGAAGGACGAGCGGACCAGGGATCCTTATTCCGAAGTATTCCGGGAGTCGAAACAAATTCCGTGAACTTGGTTGATTCGATTATTAGTTTACGCCTTGAAAACTTGCCTTCTTCTTCTTCTTTCTTTTTCTTCTTCTTTTTCTTCTTCTTCTTCTTCTTCTTCTCCTTCTTCTTCTTCTTCTTCTTCTTCTTCTTCTTCTTCTTCTTCTTCTTCTTCCTCTTCCTCTTCCTCTTCCTCTTCCTCTTCCTCTTCCTTTTTTCACTCTTCATTCCCTCCCACTGTTCTTCCCTTCGACACTTCTACTTCCGCCATATGTTCGATACTCGGCTTTACCTATCGTCACCGGAATTGTGAGTGCAGACGGCCGTGTAATTGCAAGTCTCCCAAGGAAAACGGAAACTTGCTTCGAAGTCGATGAGGGACCGAGGAAGCGGCGACGAAAGGGGGAGGGGTAGCGGAAGTGCCGAGGACGTGCATTAACTGGATCCGAACTTTCGATAGAAATTTCCATTACGTAAGAATCTGGAAGACAATACCGCGCCGAAGGAAATATATACTCTTCACGGTTATCTGGAAACGGTAATTTACGGGGGATCGCGCCGCGAGGACGCAATCGTGAACTTCGTATCATTACTTCATGAACCGTTATCGAACGCGAAGTCGGTTACTCCCAGCCGTTACCTTAATTGCCGATCGCACTGATTGCCAATAAACAGACTGGAAATAACGAAATAACCAGGGATGCCATCTTTTTCAACAATTGATAATTACTGAAGAATAAAAAGCAATCGCTTTTGCCACGCGCACAATGATGAAGGAATTACGGTGATTATGCGGTTGGCCTACTTTCTCAATCGTTAATTCCATTTTCCAAATTACAGAAATCCAGCTTACAGAAATCGCTTCCTTCGCGATTGCTTGTCGTGCAGAAGGATTCCACTGATTTTTATCCTCCCCCGATACATCTCTTCATACAATTTTCTCAATGTTCTTCCTCTTCCATATTTCTGACATTGTTATATACTTGTTGATTGCGCGAAAGAGACAAATTTGATTTACGAGTCGTTGGAACACTTGGCACGCTCATGTCTCGCGTATATCTCAACATTTCAAGTCGATCCGAATACATGCGGATTAACTTGTCGCGGAAAGAGAAAAATCGTCGAGGCCGCGATTGTAAGGACGATTGCCAAAACGGCGAAGGAGCCGGATTATATAGTAGACTCCGCGTCGTAACTTGGCGAAATCTTTACACAGCTCGCAGCAGCAGCAGTAGCAGCGGCAGTGCGGAGATTTCGGCGAGCAATTTCGAGGCAGGTGTCGGCTGCGCGTCAGAAAAATGAAAAATATTCGATAAATCTTCCGCTGTCACATAGCGTACATGCACATGCACACACACACACACACACATACACACACACACACACACACACACACACACACGACACGTACAGGATCTCTCGCTCCCTCTTCAGTTACCAGACGCGGAGGCAACATCGAACAGGGTGGCGGGTACACGCAATATATTTCTCGACGCTGTTGTGCCTCTTCATCTTCAATCCTTTTCATTGCCGCAACCTAACCTGCTTTTCCGCCCTTACACACCTCTCTCGCCGAACTTTCTCTTTCTGTCTACGTCGCGTGGCACCGGTGGAAGCTTTTTATGTCGCCGTGTATGTCGGTCCGAGTGAATAGTGTTTCAATAATCGTATATCATTGAATTTTCCCGGCGAAATAGAAAATTTCGCTTTCCCCGGCGCCTCGCGTTTCTTCGTTCTGCGACTTCCCCGGCCGGAAATTGAACGACAAATGTGGCCAGCTCGTGTTTTCTTTGCCACGAGAATACATACAAACGACGAGATCCCACGAGTATCCGTGACGGGGAAGAAGCTGTCGAAGCCGATGGAATCAATACAGGGATTTTCGACTCGAACAATTGTGCGGACTTGTGAGAGGACTATATCTACACACACGCATATAATGTTTCCTAGACAGAAAAATTTCTAAATTCCCGAAGTCCTTGTTCGCACGAGCAAACCTTGAATCGTTCGTAACAAACGTGATTATTTTTTCACACAAATATTTCCGCGAGAGAATCAAGTCCAGAGGATCTCCGAGCGAAAGAGAAAGAGAGAGAGGAGGGGGAGAGAGAGAGAGAGAGAGAGAGAGAGAGAGAGAAAGAGAGAGAGAGAGAGAGAGCTTCTCGATATCTCCCTCCAAAGAATATCATCCACGTTGGTGCACGTTGGTCAGACTGACTTTAATAATTATCCATCATGCAAATTCTAATTTCCGACCTATCTGGAATGTTCCGCGTGTCTTCCCCGCCAGACGTTGGCTCAGGCGAGGCTCAATATCCCGCACAGTACCCGGGGAAAGTTCAGCTTCAGACGATCCGCGCGAGCCGCCCGCTACATAAGGATCGTTCTCGTGCGGGCATGAGAACGAGGGGCGTGAGGAGGGGGGGGGGTCAACAACACCTATTCCCGGCCGTCATAATTCACGGTGCCTTCCAACTTCGTGGAAAGTTCCCTCAAACTTAGATTAGCGATTCAATTTGGGCTGCCAGTGAATCGCCTTCAAAATCGTTTTTTAATCGGGACACTGTGTAACGAACAAAACGTCCGGCTGCGCCGAAAAAAAGAGAGAGAGAGAGAGCGGCTTTTCCTGCCTCCGGCTTTTCCCGTTTTCCTCACCCCTTCGTTTTGCCACCCCGTTCCCTCGCGGATATTTCCGCGTCACTCATTCATCGCTGCTGACTCGACGACCTACGAAGACGACCGCTTCATCCGCCAATGCTCATTTGGTATTCCGTTTCCTTCATGCTGGGATTCTGTTCTCTTCTCTTTCTCTCTTTTTCCTCGATGAGAAAATTGACACATATATCAGGCTCGTTATTCACGCGGGAAATTTCTCGGAAAAATCAGTATTTCAAGCGTGGCCATTGTTGGAAATGCTTATTTGCCGAGCCTCGCGATAATGGAGCAAGATGAATTCTTGATGCTCTTGTAGAGACTGTTATCAAACGTCTCTTACTTTTAAGATAAAAGAAATGTTGCAGATTCTGACAGTCGCCAGATGGCCAGTGTGAAAGTTCTAATAAACTTCGTGACAGAAAAATGGGCTGAATAATTGTATTAAAAACGACTCGTTTATTCTACCAAAAAATTGCCATAGTTTCGTCTTCAGTGTATTATGCGAATACCACATATTTGCAAATGTTACCATAAAATTGAACCTGTCGAGTCTCTGGGAAAGCCATCGAAACTTTTGCATTTACCCAACGCAATTGAGATAAATGGTGGCTAAATGATAACCACTCTTCGCCATAATATCATTTTCGTGGCACCACTTTGATATTTAGTGATTTAATCTTTCTTACCAAAGCATGCTAACGAGATAAGCAATTTGACGACGACATCGTCGCCCTGGGAATTTCACGTGCGCACGCGACGAAACGTGTGAGTTTCTCCTTTGACGTCCCCAGACCTCGAAATTTGCGGACTCGATATTCGAATTGTCCAATTCGCAAAGTCCGCGATCACTGTGCCTTAATATCCCGTGCGCGAGTCTACATCGTCCGGACGGAAATTTTCCGACGGACTATAATCTAAAAATAGCCGGAAGTCGGGGCTGATTTAAGATCCGCTGCGCGTCGTGTGTGTGCGAAGGAGTAAACGTAGCTTCGCAAGAATCACGTTACAAAGTTCTCTCGAGATAGTGGCGAAAGCATATCGTCTCTCGCCGCGACTCGGAGCCACGGGGAACTTATGCCGGCCGTATAAGGAACTTTCGATATCTGATCGATTGATTTTACTGCAACTTGCCGCCGCGCGTTTCGGCGTATCGGCGCGGAGAAGTATCCGACGTATCTCGCCTGGTCGATAAGGAACGACTTTGTAACCGTCAATCTGTATGTGCGTGCGTGCGCACGTTGGTTACAACCTCGTTGGGGTGCGACTTTCTCTCTTTCTTGCCGGAGGGTTTACGCTTTCACTCACCCATGGCAGGTGCGTAGATGTTCAGGTAGAGGCAGTCCTCGCTCTGGTTGCGCAGATGTGGCAGCAGTCTCTTCAGGTACTCGAGCCTTCCCTTAGGCATTCGCTCGAGCGCTTCCTGCTCGTTCACGATGTCCGGCAGCTTTTGGGGACAGACTGGACCCACCGAATCCGATAATCTGTGGACATCGGAAATCGTTGGTGCGTTATGGCGCGCTGGACCACCGAAGTTTCATCGTGTGGAATACGCGACGCCGTATTATTCGATCAGAACGAACGTCGTCTGGGAGGATGAATGTCTCCCGGACGAATGTTCGCCAGATCTTAATCGGGCCTTAATCCAGCAAACGCGCGGCGTTTGTATCTCGCATATCGCGCGCGGCGCGTCCCGATAGAAGCGATATCTCGCATGATAAACGCCGTGGGAGCGACATTTTCTTCCGGAACGCAGCTCGCGACGTGACAACGTGATAAACTCGTGTCAGCCGCTGTCGCGGAAACCCGTGATTTTTCGGCAATCGCCGAGTCGCAGGGTCGATTTTATAACGGTGATACGACGCGCGCGTTGGCATTCGAGGGATCCGCCGGCGAAAATCTTGGCATAATTTCGGGATGTTGCTCGTAGACACTTGGAGTTACGAAGACTGCACGGTATCCAAAGTATCTCGAGAGAAGATATTGAAGTAGCTCGCGGAGATCGCGCTTGTTATAAAAGTGGAAAGTGGCCGCTCCCGAAACTGATGGGAGGTCGTAGGTGCGCGATCGATCTCGAGTGCGGAAATAAAAATTGATTAGCCTTGTCTCCTGCACCTGAGCGTAATATAATCGTAAATTCTTCTCCTGTCTCGCGTCAGGCAGAATTTCCGGTTGGACTGCGTGGACGAGTAACGATTAGCGACGAGCGGCCTCGATTCGATTTTCTGAAGATCGCTCATCGTCAGTAATGATTCTCACTCGCCGAGAGAGCGGAAAATAATCTAAGGACTTTCAGTCCACGTCGATTCTTTCGACGGTCCGTCGTTTTTAAAAAGTCCCGAGTCGAGAGAAAGGCCTCGCAAATGAGGACTCTCCCTCCCTCTCTCTCTTCTATCGAGTATATTCGAGCGAGACTCGTTACTTGTACCGCGGGTTCTCGTAAGAACCGATCGTGAAAAAAAAGTCTAATTCTCGGCGTCAGTTTCACATTTCGCGCAATTACTACGTCCAAGCGAAGTTTCCACGTTTTAGAAAGTGCTAAAAAATAACGACCCCCGTGTTATTTATTCAACGACGATGGGAGTTACGACCGCCAACGACCGTCACTCTCGCGGTGTAACGACCCCTCGTGCCTTCGTATATGCACCGCGGGAAATTAAACTCCCCACAATTATACCGGTTTCAATCTCGTTGAGGGGGAGCAAGGGACGACGACGGCGGCGGCGACGACGACGACGACGACGACGACGACGGCGTCGACAAGGACGAGGGGAACAGAACAAGACGAACGAGAGTAAGAAAAAAAAAAGTGAAGAGAGAAGTCGAGAGAAAAAGGGAAGGTTTACCTGACTCCCTCCCAAGGACTCGGCGCTCTCGTCGGGGAGAAACGGTTGCTGCCGACCGGCGGTGTGGCGTACGGTATACCGAGGTATACGTCGATCGGCTTGAGGAACTTGTATTCGAAGGACCTCGTGACGCCCTGCACATCGCCGTAGCGTGTCTGCACGATCCGTGGATTGAGCTTGCTCTTGATGGAGAGCGAGAGGGCGGGCGGCGCGATCAGGCAAACGAGTATCAAGAAGAGTTCCATCTTGCCACCCTCCCCTCGCCCGTGCTACCCGCCGACTGATCACGCCCGACACGATCTATCGATCACCTCCGCACGGCTCCGCAACGATCGTTCCTCATTTACGTCCGCGCGATTAACTGCGACCCCGCCGTGCTTCCGCCGTCCCGCTGCTGGCCGCTTCTGGAAATATCACACGAACCGCGCGGCTCCGCTGGATCATTGATTGTCGAACGTGGCCATCGCAGACACGCTCTGTCTTCCTCCATCTTTCTATCCCCCCCTCTCTCTCTCTCTCTCTCTCTCTCTCTCTCTCTCTCTCTCTCTCTCTCTCTCTCTCTCTCTCTCTCCCTTTATCTCCGTTTCTGAAAGCGTGTGCTCGTTACTTCTTTATCTGTGAAATTTATTCCCGATATCACTTGGTGCGATCCATCCGCTCACGGCTGTTTTCGAGACGTGTAATTAATCTACGTCGCCATAAAAATATCCTCGATGATAATTTCGGTGTTATAAATGCCTCTCGGTACGACGAATTCCGGTTACATCGTCGAATGCCTTAATAATAACAGTAACGATAATGATATAATGACGATAAGCCAAATTGAATTCCAATCTCACGTCGACGCGAAATCGAAATTAATTAAGACACGACAAACAAAGCCGCGAATGAGCGCGCTTGTGACGCGCAGAAGACAAAATTTGCGTTCTAACAATGCGGCGGCGGTGGCGGCGATGATCATTAATTAGCACTTGACTCGAGATCGTTGGGACGGTAAGCGAGATTGTAACAAATGGAGAGTTGCGTTTTATTCCGCATGAGCGCCTGTGCGCGGTCACATCAATTAATTTCATGTTTTTGTTAGTTTTAATTTCTCGGCTGCGGCGGTTGCGTGTGTGTGTCGCCGCCGCCGGTTTGGCGACGTATTTATTTAACATGCCGTTCAATTAACTATATCAATATTTAATTAATAGTCGCTGCGGTTCCAGCGATCCCATTGGGAAATGACAATGATATTCAATAAAGAGCAAAAAAATGGATAATTGAATGCATATCACGACTGCGCGGGTAATCGATATTCCGTCGGGGCGGTCTCTCGCGAGGGTGGGCGATTGTAACAGCGCCCTTTATCGCTCCTTCGATTATTAGCGAATTCTAATCTCGCGACAGAAAGTTTCATCCGCGACGCTGATAGGAGATAGAGTAAAATGGCCGAAGGGAAGCAGGATGGGCGGCGAGACCGGGCGACGGGAGGGACGAAGGCGATGGATAAGGGCGTGAGAAGTTAACGGAGTTCGATAAGCGCGAGAGAGGGAACGCTTTCTATGAAAGTCGCGCGTCTGCCACATTTTAGGCGGAAACAAATACGCGGATGTGAGTTAATTAACATGCCGCTTCGAAATCCGGCAAGATCTCTGCGTTCCCGTCGTAAGATATATTCGCGCTTCTGCTTGGCACGCACTACGTTACTCTTATCTGGACTAAAATGGGAAATTATACATCTTTTTGTTAATATAGTAGGTTACATTGCATTATATATATATATATATATATTTATCGACCTTTGGAAACTTCAAAATTATTAAATTAACAAAAGTTAGGGCACTATTACAGTAATATATTCTTGATAGTTAATAAAGTAAAAAAGTCTAATACTATTTTTACTTTCGACGAATAGTTAGCGAGATATCGTAAGTTAAATGTTGAGAAAGTTACCAAGTTTTCCTTAAATATTTCAAAAAATATTAGGCAAATAAGAAAATGTTTCAGACAAAAGTTGTTAAAATTAATTGGTAGAAAAAGAAGATATAATAAAAAATTGGGCTTTCTATTTAAAAAAATTAAATTGACCTTCAACTGACCTTGGAAATGCCCTCCAAATGAAAAACTGATAATGCCATTCTCTTTCCCCTTCGAAATCACGGAACACGTGTTTTAGCTTTTTTTAATATCTTTAATAGTTTTTTTAATATATTTCATAGTTTTCGAGATTTTTTACCTATTACGTTTGAAATTTAGCACCCTGTATATATTTGCTATGTAACCTACTTTAAACAAATATTATGCAGGAAATGATATTTCGAGCGAAAATTACTCGCGCCGGATATATAGAACCGAATTCAACCTTGGGAACTCAGCGAAAAGCGAAAGTTTCGCGCTATACATACACAGATCGCAAACTGTTACACAATATTATATTAAACTATCGCGTATTGAACAGAGCAAAGCGAGGCGCGACAAGTGCGTTTCCGCGACACCGAACCTGACAGTTGCGTTTGGTCCGACAGATAGACAAACAGAAAGTTCTCTCCCCGTCGCGCGTTCGCTGGAGAATGCGGTGACGTTGGGTGCTTGAAATAATTTCGCATTCCATCGGCGGAGTTCTCGACGCTGCCGTAAAATCGTCACGGTGGTGGTGAACATAAAGGGAACGCGAGTCTACACGCAAAAATTAATCACGTCCCGGCGTAATTATCGCGCCTCAAACTTGCTCCGTCGCGCGCTAAGACTACGAAAGGGACCAAAGTTCCTATGTGCAAACACAGAAAAAACGACATACAGATGGCCGCAACGCGGAATGGCTGCAAGGGGTGGCGGGATAACGCTAGAAAGAGGGGTTGGGAGAAGTGCGGGCGGGAGTAGGGGATAAGTGAGTGCACTCGTACGTGGAGCCATTATGGAAATCAGTACTTATCGGCCTCAGAGAGAAGGAAATTCAACGCCACGTAACGGCGTCACGTTTTCCTCGTGATCCACGTGGCGGAGAAAAAGGAGATAAGCTGTTTCGGTTCCGTCAGCCGTCCCGATAATTTCTCTTCCTTGTCAATGATGCTAACCTTCTTGCCGCGAATCCGTCCTATCGATCCGCGAATCGAAGGCGTGGCGATAATTCTCTCCGAGAAAGGGCGGATAATAAAAGTGGCATCGGAAAAATGTAGATCTAAATTTAATTTCGCATTAATGTCAATTTGATTCGACGGATTTTATTGTTGGGATATTTAACGCACACAGCGGACCGAGGACGGTGTATAATTTGAGGAAAATTGAGAGCTGTTTGCTGCAAAACCGCATACACCAACGCGAATTCGTGAGCTTTAATTTCTAAGAGTGTGGCGCGTTGAAAATAAAGAAAAGTTGGCGGGGTTAAGAACAGAGAGAAAATACACGAATATGGAGCTCGCACACACGTGTGTCTGAAGAAATTACGGCATATACGGGGAGGAATATAATTAATTGCATGGAGCAGTTTTCACAAACATTAATTGAATTAAGTGGCGTTTTAGTGATATTCTGCTTCCGGATAAAAATGTGCAATCAATTTTATATTTATATATATATATATATATATAATAATTATATATATTCTAAGATTATTTTAATTAATGTTTATGAGAAACATGCGGAAATTATTTTATATTAAGATAATCATTTTAGTAAAGCTTCATCTTACCTTGAAAAAATGACAGCCTCGCAGCTTTCAAAACTAATGTTTATCACCACCTTCTGATAATAATGACATGATATTCGTGATAACGCTGTTATTGACAAAGAAGAGGCCGACAAACAAGATGAGAAAGCAAACTCGCACACGCATCGTTGCACTTTCAGGACGCGAGAAAACAAAGGAAAAGCGGGAAATAATCTTCGCCTGAAGCATAAATTGTTTATCTTAAACTACGATTTTAAAACATTCCAATTTCAAAATGAGGGAAAATTACATTATTTGAATAAAGATGAAATTTCCCATTTTAATAGTAATCCGCCGATCATTCAACCGGAGAAACGAGTAGAAAGAGACAAATGGAGGAAAAGGAAAGGGAAAAAGGGAGGGGAAGGAGAAAAAATCACACGTTGATTAAGTCGGTGATTTATTCGATTGTGTAATATTTAATATCGCCTTCAGCGATTAACGCTTACCATTCGTGCGGGTCATGGACCTCGGCTGGCTCCTCCGTCTTTCTGCGACTTGCCGGATTATCGAAGTGCAACGCGGTCTTAACTCGAAAACTTCCCTGACATCTTCTTCTCATGCGCTCATTCGTTAAAGATTCATCGATCACTCATCGCTTCCTCAGCCTAAGTACTCGTTATCATCTCGCATATTCTAGGCGCAACTCAAGCGCGTCATTTGCAAGTTAAAATTCGCGAAACTCCCCACATTACACTGTCCACGTCTCGTGGACTAATTTGTACAATCTACGATTCTTAATTTTTCTAAGCTAATAATCGATTAAATTTGGAATGAACTGCAATCACACAGGTGCCGAACGTCGCTCGCAGTATTCTGTAACATAAAACAAACGAGCGTATAATTAATATTTGCCTAAGTGTAAAAGTGTAATATCTTGTAGAAATTTCTTTATGTTTCTTTCGCTAAATTTCTCACGTTCTTCAATGCGTGGTGTTGTATATTTACTCGATCGTTCATTCGTTTATTTATGCGAGTACGCTAATTTCACGCACAACATCTAAATTTACAGCTTAGGGGGGGAGCAATTATCGTAATCAAGAAAATATTGACACATATCAATATAGTACGGTCGTTTGCTCCAGCGTACTTGGTTGTATCATTATTTACAGAAAACAAGAGAAATTAACATAAGGTTATTAATAACATCATAGAGAGATTATGATAATTATATGACAATAAACTAAATTACTAAATCACCTCGTTAATAAATTACCAAATCAGTTGAGAATATTGTTCACGATTGAATGGCTCCCATTAACCCTCTTTGTTAATTATTAACAAATTGAATCACACCAAATTAGTCTGCGATTTAAAATCAAAGGACAATCGGGACGCGCAATGGCGGAGATTTTATTTATAGTTCTTCTTTTTTTGGAAATTCCTCGGGAGAGAATGTCGCGTCGGCTAAACAACGAGAAAACATTGAAATGCGAACGAAACATATCGTAGGAATATCGAGAAAACGTGGGAGCATTTTGGTGAGAATTGATGCGGCAACAACTGAAAGTAGCACTAATTTTCAAGAACTTATTTGTGCATTCTCACTCGGCAGGTATATACTGCAAACTCACTCGCTCGCTCGCTCGCTCGCTTTCTTCCAATTTAATGCGTTCTACGTTTCCTACACAGCCAGTTATATCCTGCCTAGTTTAACTCATTTTATTTGCAAATTGAACTTTAATTCGTACTAACTAATTCATCGCGTCTTAAAGCAACTTTATATTATCTACTTTCCCTATTTACTCCTCCGAAACATTTTCTCGCTTTTCTGTATTTCTCCTTCGTCGGCCCTCTCCTGCCCCTCTGCTGCCATATTGTCTTTATAATTCATCTTTGCGCTCTCTTCTCTCTTCTCGCTTCTTGTTCTCTTCTTTCTCTCCTGTCCCTTTTCTTCCATCCTTCATGTACATTGTAATGTATACTAGGATTAAAAGGGTCAAAGCCGACGTTTAATCAACCGAGAAAGAGGACGAAGGAGAGAGGGGAGGAGAAGAGAAAGAGAAAGAGAGAGAGAGAGAGAGAGAGACAGACAAGAAAAGAGAATGAAAAAATCCCGAGGAATCCGGGTCGAAATTTTCGAGTGAATTAAAGCCGATGCGCGAGCGAAGCCTAAAAGAGAATAAAGACGAGAATTAAATATGAAGCTCGCGGAGGAGGGCTTTAATTCTCGACAAGGCGAATTTTCAATCCGACGGTTCGAGAAGCAACTTGTAAAGCCGAGAGAGAGAGAGAAAGAAAGAGAGTTCCCTTGAACCTTATCCGCCCCATTGTCTTGTATGAAACCGATGTAATACAACACTCGCTATAATGTCGCGCGGACGCCTGGTTGGAATCCGCGTCGGTTGTGCGAAGAAAGACGAGACTGGAATTCGATTATACGAAAGGACCATTCTCAGCGGGGCCGGGCCCTTGCAACCGTGCGGCCGTGATGGCCGGGCTATTTTAGCGATAGCGGAATGCCACCGTCGCCGTGGACAGTGCGACGCGAACAATTATTACGACTTGGCAAACTCCACAGGCAGTCTCTGCCGGGCTCACAGATACAACTTGGCAACTTCCGTAGCGCACATAAACACAACTCCCTTTCTCTTCCCTCCTCTTTCTCGCGCTCTGTCTTTGTCTCGCTCATCGCCTCGCTGTGGCATAAGTCGAGCTTCAGGAGCGCGCAACGCGTTGTCCTGCGGATTCGTTTAACATCCCGGCTAACTATATTCAAAGGACAAGCAACACGGATAATTGGTACGCTATACCGTGTCGCATGTAAACGGCACGTTTGTTGGTTAATTCGCACCCGAGGACGAGATGATTCCAATCGCCGGAGATACGAGCGCGGGATTCTTGCGCGGCCCGAACTTCCGGGCTTAATGCCGTCGTTCGCGAAAATTGCGCGAACTGTGTTAATTTAACTCCCGGGTGTGGTGGTGAGATCGGGGGAGGAGGGGGCGATGCGGAAAGCACGCGAACGTAAATGAGGGAGAGAGGAGTTGGCGGTTTGCGGACGGACAGACGACAATCCAGCGACCGAAGAGAGAAGAACATCCTGCGTGACCCCGGCGTTCCGATCCTGCAGGATCCGGGGGAGAGACGCCTCCAGCATGCGAGCGACATTCCATTGCGAGGTGTCACTCGCTGATCCCCCCACAAAAGATATGGCTTCCTTCTCCGCGATTCGCGCCTGGCCTGCCGGCTCATATTTACTCAATGCGATTGCCGCTTCTTGCGATTCGCCTTCGTTCGCGACTCGTCCGGTCCGGCAAGCGGCCGGGTTGACGCAGCCAGGTCGGGACGCAGCATCGCATCTGGGGTGCATCCGTAGGAGAGGATGCGCAGCGACAGGATGACAGGTGCAGAAAGACGCGCGGCAACGGCAGCAGCGAGCGAGCATCAGAAAGCTATTCACGACGCGGCGCTTTCTTACGGGATTGACAGCAAGAAAAGGGACTGTGTGTATCTCGCGGAAGCACGCAACGCGCGGAAGAACTCCATTTCTGCCATATTTCTCGCACAATGCCGCGAAATTGACTAGCCAGAAAATGCGGCGTTTCACGCGGCTGATGCTGCGGCCGGGGGCGGATGAGCGGGCGGGGAGGGGGGGAGGAGGCGGGGAAGCGAAGAGGACCCAGGAGACCATGCCACCATCGAGCAGCAATTCCATCCTCTCTGTGGCCGATCGATCGATCGAATCGATGTACACCAATACGCCCCGGACGAGTGTATATACAAATGCGCCACCTTGTAGCTGCCTTCCGGCGATTTAACGAAATTCCGACTTGTATTTCACCGGACGTTGCTCCTCTGAAAACGCGCGGCTGCCCGGCGTTCTAACTTCGCCGTGTAATTTCTTGATTCGCTGGTAAATATTAAACGCGCGGACAGCCCGATTCTTACAGCTCTCGCGGCCGTGCACTGCGCTTCGTCCAGTTGTAATTTCTGATTTAATGGTGAAGAAAAAAACTCCAGGCCGGATATTTCTCGGAAATACGCTAATCTTCGGAGCGCCGAAGGCACGAGGGATCTCCACGTTTGGGAGTTGGAAAGGTTCCCTGGCGTGGAGTAGTCTGAGAAGGACGACGCATGAGAGCGGTCCGGCTCGTGTGAATTTTTAGTAGCAATAACCGGGAATTTTCCAGCCAGACCGAAAGCTAATCCTCGAGTTTAGCTAAGATTGTTAAATTGTCCTGGCTGAGGGAACTGGCCAAAAGCCAGACCGAGACGTTCGATCTCAATTTACGAAGCGGGTTTGTTCTAATTAGCGTAAAATATTCAAGCATCTCCGGTCGCGCCGGCTCGCCTCACTTCTTCCAAATGTCTCCGCCCCGAAATACTTCTGAACCGCGAGCGAAGCCGACGAGATTAAATATCGGCCATAATCGGGGCGCATAGAACGGCCCGGCGCGACGGTACGAACCGGGTCCATGGCGGGGTTCTCAGGACAAGCATTCATTTTCAGAAAGATGCGGACGCGGCACGCTAATTTCCGCATGAAACATTCGTGGGAATTCTGGGCGGTGGCCAAAGCGTGCGTATAAATAATGCCAGCTAAATGGAAAATTCCCCGCGGGAATTCCGCGTCTCTCTTGGCGGGGGAACTAAACCAAATCCCCGGCACAAGATTTTTCGAAAATGCGACGCAGCTGCGGCTGCACCGAGCGAATTCTCTTCATAATTCCCCTCAGTCCTTCGCCGTGCCTCTCGCACCCCCCAACGCGCCAGCTCTACCCCCGCGCTTATCTTTCTTCTGGCCCGCTTTCGAGTTTCCTCTGTACACCGAACGAAGACAAATAACTCGCGGCTTGTTTGTTGCGCCGCGGTCGTTTCTTCCCGGAAACGGAAGGAACGTCGGCAGACCACCTGGGGGATCCGAGTGACCTGAGGTAGCGCTGAGGAGCCTTGGCGTTATAGAGTTATAGATCGCGCTGCTGCGAGAAATAACAGCGGACTCTGTAAGGGGTTAAAGCGCGTGGAGGTGGCGTTCCGCCGGAGAATTGCCGTGGAATCGCCCGAGTTGAAAGTCCACTATCGAGGACGGCGTGTTATCTCATTGCCGTGCTTCTTTCCCGCGATGTCGATTGGCTATCTCGACTTCGACACGTGTCGCGATTTCCTCCGGCGGCTCTCGAGAGTGATGGTCTGCCGTCGCGGAGGAATCGGGTACGCTGGCGCTCTCGATGGCGATTAAACGCCCCGCAAGGATACGTGTAATGTTTACATTGTAGAGAATGTTGATTCGACGGATAACGCTAGTCTGTCGAGCGCGCCCAGTCGGCTGAAAGTCACACGGCCCCGGGGACAAAAACATACGCGCGTATTGCTGAGCGATCATAACAGTCCGCGGCGCGAAGATAAACGGATCGGAAAATGTCGCGTGTGATTTCCGATTTTTCCCTTTTGCTTTCCAGCTCGGCCGAAGCATGCGTGAAACGCCCGTGTTATTTCACGCGTGTGTCCATCGTGCCGCGGTCGTTTTGAGCAATGGCAGCATTTTTGAGTCCCGAAGGTGAATGCCGTTTTGCATCCTCATTATTTCGACAAACAAATACGCAGTTTTGAGCCGTCCCATTATTGATGTATCTCATCTCTTCATATTACTGATCGGAAAATTTACTTTCTGTTTCAGATCTGACGGAGCTAACGGCCGTACGTCGGGCGCGGTTGCTGCGAAAACAATTTTGACGGAAGCGAATGCCGCACCGGAGGATCCGGTTCGGGCCAAGCAGGATCGGCTGGAAGGTAATTAAAAAATTTTCCGTGCCCTCGCTTGTAATCCTTTGCGATCGAGATTCGGGATATAATTATCTGACTAAAAGCATCGA